CAAGGACATACGAGAACTACGTCACGATCAAGCTCAGTTCTTGGTGGCTTATATGGAGTTTTCTCCACGCTGTATAAAAAACCCTTCATATCCCGCCCAGTGTTAAAATTCAATGTAAAAAAAACTGTGTCCGAGTTTGCACGTCAGCAAATGCCAGAAATTTATTCACCAATCTAATATGTTCACATCACGTCATGGTCCTTTGCCAAAGTCATCAGAGCTGCTGCTGGAGGTGGGCCGGAGTTCCCACGGTCTTCGAAGGGCGGAGCATGATCGAGGGCCTGACGATGAAGTGACAACGGCACCGCCCATCGTCATCGTGCCATTCGAAATGAGTCCCAGGTACACCTACGCTGTAGTCTTCATCGCCAGCTTATTGGTGTTACAGTATGTCGCCGCTCAGAGGTATGTACCATTCCGTTACAGTAATCCATCACAGCTGATTTGTTTGTTCGACCAACTTGTTAGCACTTGTTCTCAAGGTGTGAGATTACATAGTTAACTCGTGGCCTTTGGTCTTTCTGGTCTTTGTATCCATAGTAGTCCCGCAAAATGTAAGGGACCATTGTCTGTTAGATGGTACAAGGCCAGTCCCTGAAATAGCTATTTTGACCTTCGAGCCCTTCTGACTTGAATAATTCATCATGATGCCTGCCTGAAGTTATTACTGCATCAATTGCTTTGGCAGTAGCACTTCTTCGTGGTGGAAAAGTTCATCAAGTAATTCATCCGACCTTGAAAATTGTCCGCCTCAGTGGACCTCAATTTTTTCCGTGATGAAATTCGACAGCTCAATTCGCCAACCGTAAAAACGTGCACCATTCAACTGAATAGAATCTGCTGACAGCTCTATGAAGTTGTTGTGATAAATATTTGCGTGTTTAGAAGTCATCCTTCGGGTACTGGACACTAGGACCCTATGCAAGTTCAATAAAATAGCAGTAATTTGTAATACTGATGAACTCAACACCAAGTCTTAATGTAATCTGAATTTGTAAGTGAAGTGCTACTATGTAATAAGCATTTGACTAGATGTAAATTGTACTTGCAATTAAGTAGACTAGAAGAACCTATAGGAACGCAGCTACTGCAAGGCTATAAGTAAGTTAGCCAGTGCAAAACCGTGAGATCACACATTCATTACTACCGTAATCGAGACCTTATAAGTCACCCTTAACCCGGAGTCAGAGGACTCCGCAGTATTTTTGGAGCAGGGTAGCATTAGAAGATCTACCAGTAGGACTAGACCACTTTGAACGCTTCGATCGCGGTTCAGAGTGGATTCTACCAGTACTGGAACAACTTCATGTGGTAACCGTTATGATCTACTAAAGTAAGCACCAGTGACCATCCTCACAGTCTGCAGTATGACTTGCAGTAGAGAGAAATAATCTGAACGGCTAGGGTTCTGCAACCATAGACTCCCAGAATGTTCCCAAGGGGTACACCACACGTCTCAACTAACCTTGCTTCTCTGATACTTAAAACTTCTTTCATTTACTCCGAAGAATACTGTTGTTACAACAGTACGGAAAGCTACAGTGCCTTAGCAACGTCAGTTTGAGTGGAAATACTGGATGGTTCTGCGTTTCCAGAGCTTTGAGAGGTTTGGGTTTGCCCGTAAAGTAGCTATCCCTCAATATTTGACCATTACGCTTGTAGGAACTTTAAATTCTTATGATAAGACTGTTCCGGTTTCCGAACGGTCTTTCGAGATACCTGCTCTTCCGATTTCCAAGCTTCACATGGTTCTTCACATTGGCATCCCAGTTGGCAGTCACGTATGCTGTGAAGATGACGTTTTTCAGGCATGAAACATTTTTTAAATCTATTGACCCCAGCAAATGAATGTACTTGCATGGCACTCGCTTGAGAAGCGTTGGACGGGTTTTTTATTGTCGCACTTTGATGTAATTTTGGCGTGTATGAAAATCAAAGAAGAAGAATGGCTCTTCTGAAGAATCCTTGTTTGCAATGGCCTCATTAATGAAGCGCTCCATTGAAGCGTGCTTGAAAACGCCGTGCATTTGAAAAGAAGTTTCTTAGAAGTTCAGATTTGCAATATTTTCTTTTAAACTTTCAAACACTGGCGCTTTTACGAAGTTCAATAGTTGCTAGCTTTTTTCATGATTAAATCATATTTTTGTGAACGCTTCTTTGGTAGATGGGACACGACAAGGAAATGTCCAATGCTTCCAGGAAAAGCAATTAATAAGTGAAAACTTGGAATTAGTACTGAGAAGTCTTAGCTACACAATTTTAGGGTTTCAGTCCAGAACTGCAACTTTTTGCAGAAGTGTATGTAGCTCTCTTGCAAATGTTATAGCGACAGCATAGTTGGCAAGAGAGGGGTGAGAGCGTTCGGGAGCACACAGACAAGTCTTTGTGTAGATTTAGGTCTATTGACCTGAGGCTTGATTTTGTAAGAGAAATCGGTTCATCTGCCACGAAACTCTTTCGCTTGAGGCGGCTAAGTGAACCTTCACAGCCGTTATATCTACCTCACTCTAGCACAGGGTGCCCTTTGGATACCCCCCCCCTTTCCTCCTCGCCGGCTTTTGCTCAAAATTGTTCATGTCTGTGGGTCCAAAAAAATGCTAGTCAAAAGAGGAAGGAAGGGCTCAGGGCTCAGGGTGAAAGTGAAAAGACAAAATTGCCACATCTTACCACGAGCAACTTGTAATGTGGAAATTCTGCGGGAAATTTTGTACTGCTTCTGGATTTTCGAAACCTATAATACAAAAAAATAGATCACAGCCCGTGTAAATTTCCTATTCATTTTATTGCAGTTTGACATGTCTGTAGTGAAACAGCGACATCATTTTTGCCTGAAAACCCATGTCAATTCCATGTAATGGAATTTCAAACTAAGCGCTATATTTAAAGCATAAGCACTATTTGTAGTAACTCCACTCTAGTTCAGTAACATTTGGAAACTAGTTTAAATTCTACTGAGTCATCTTATTCGAAATAGTAAGGACAACAGAAGAATGGTAGGCAAATAAAGAGGTGGGGCCATCTGATCCTGTATTGTCCAAGCTAGCTACTTATTCGTCGAATTTGACCAACATGACCATAGAAGAAAAGGTTGAAAAGCCTGGTGCTCAAACTACCCTTAGCTGTACCAGTAGTTGCATGGGATGACGTTAGCTAGACGGGATGGGGGAGGAAGTGGAAGTCCTAAGAACAAAGAACGGGAAAGCTTTGTTCTCGAAAATGGCCTTCATAAAGTTCACCTGCATACCAAAAGCGGACGGATGAAATTAAGCGTTGGTTGTCTGATCACAGAGACTGAGCCATTGTCGGACTCCCTCTCGAGAGTAATATTCGTGCTCGTTGGTCCAGTTGCCTCAGAAAAATGGAGGATGGTCTAGGGGAAGTGTTGTAAGCTGCTCCAGTCTCTTGAAAAGTAGAAAACTCAGATCGGTTTCCATGCCTGCAGCAACTATGTTCGCCGCCCAGGAGGTCATCCAGGGGTTGCGAAAAGAGACCTTGGTCTCAGAGGAAACATGGTGGCCTTGTGCCCTGAGCTCGAACTCACCCGCTAATAATAAATGCAAGTGTGCAGATACCCGAACTATGTCATGAGACCTCACTGGCTACGAGCGGATGATCGCAGCAATAGTTTTCTCAGTGGGAGAGGGGGGTACCTACTGTTCAGTTACCTGTACATTGCATAGTTTATCATGGGATGATATAAATGTCTAGGTTTTGAAAAAAGTCAGGCTTTCAGCCTTTAGCCTCTGGGCTCTCGCTTGAAAATGAGCGCTTTGGTTTCCGCATTCCGACCGGCGGCAGTTGTGACTATCCTAGAACAATCACCTATTTAGCTCTGTCAAAAAAGTCATCACTGCTAAAGTGTACTGCCTGTTCCTCGACGACCACGTTGACAAATGGATGGGCGCAGTTCGACCTGGGAGGACTTTTTGCAGTTTCTCAAATTTCCTTCCCTTAGTTCTTTTTTGAATAACAGGTTTTACTTCGGTGAAACCTGTAAGCCCTTGTGAAAGAGCAAAATGGTCCGAGTGAGCCACTTTCGTAACAGGGGAGGGCTCAAAAATCATCACAAGATAACCTCCAGCAGCTTACTTGAGCACCATTAAGTGCCCAAACCAAGCTGAACTGTGCCCTGGGTGGAGCCACACTACTTCAGGAAGGCCGTAATTGCCTAGTCCAGTGCCAGGGTCCAAGTAGTCGTATTACTATGCAATATTTCAGTGAGGACAACATTAGTTCCGGAGATCTGTAAGTGATTTTCCCCTAACCTGCAATCAGCTGTTCTGCCCTGCTGATTGCAGGGTTCAATGGCCAGCGCTAGGACAACTTGTCGATGGCCGAAACTGACATCAACAGCAGTCAATTTGCACATGTTCAAAAAACGAAGGTGCTAGGAGTCCAAACGCTCTCTGGAAACTGGGAGTGGGCCGTTGGCCTGATTCTAGCTTCTAGGGATTCCCAGGGAGCTTACAAGGGCCCACTTCACTAGGGGCTTAAAAAGCTTTCTCATCTGTTTTCTCATTCATTTTATCCGAGAAAGAAACCGACGTTTTTGAATGAGACAGCCTTGAAATTTTGGATAATGAGTTACTTTAGTGGAATTGTCAGATATATCTCTTGCCATTGTTCCAACAAGGATTTACCTAGGCGTTTACACGTACATAGTATCAGTCAATAAAGCCCTCTTACTTATTCATTGTGTTCCATGAAAAACACGCTCAAATGCGCCCGTATTTCAGTGGACCTCATAAACGATTATTAAAATTCGACATCATTCACCTCAATGTTTATCGTTTTATAGTGTCTACTCCAAATCGCATATGGAAATGCGTTTCGGAGAGAAAACCTGGAAATTTTAGTGTATTCAATCATCCTGACAACTTCCCTGTTCATTTTTCACGCGTCATACTAAAAGGTCCATTGGCCCAAAAACATAAAAAAATATCATTAAACGTTTGTGATCCCATAAATGATTAATAAATTAATAACGTCATTCGTTACATAAGTAGGTTCACAAGAAAAATAATGAAAATTAGAGTAATTAATTGTGGAAGAATTACTAAATTGCTTCCTTCCGCTATACTGTACCTACTGTTCAATTACCCTACATTACATAGTTTACGTCATGGGATGGTGTAAATGTGTAGGTTTTGAAAAAAGTCAGGCTTTCAGCCTTTAGCCTCTGGGCTCTCGCTTGAAAATGAGCGCTTTGGTTTCCGCATTCCGACCGGCGGCAATTGTGGCTATCCTAGAACAGTCACTTATTTAGCTCTGTCACCAAAAGGATAGATAGCCCGTATTTGCGGAGGTTATTGGTGCGCGTGGCAGCGACCGTGGAAAAATGGGCAGTTTCTGCCAACAAAAAATCGTCCGTCTACTGATACTGATTCAAAACCTAATAACCTCCAACTAATGAAGCTGAAGCGTGAAAAGTCGAGTAAAATACGGGAGAACAGAGGTTTTTGAGACCATTGGCACGCGCGCCCCTGATTCCGTGCACACGATCGGTCTCATCGTCGGATACAAAGTTTATCAGACGCTCAAGCCCTATCGAAATCAGTTACTGGAGCAATGTTACGCCACGGCATGCTTTAGCCTGCAAAAGACCACAGAAAGACGTCCTGCGAGCCATGTAAAAACAGGGGGCAGCTGAGTCCCACCTGATATTTTACCCAAGTTCTCTCCTTCCTTAGGTGAACCCGCCTGAGCGATAAATGTGCAGGATGTGCTTACTCTTTTGAGGGCTTGAAAGGCAATAAATGTGTGAACGCTTCCTGACAGGTTAATATCAGGTTGAGAAAGTTCGAGCGCGCGCGACTATTTCTTCGTTGTGATTTATATTCTCTCAATTTCAATGTGATAGTTTGAAAGGGCTCATTCCAGCGAAACGAATACTATCATTTTCGATTTGACCATAATGGGCTAGAATAATTCTTGCCGTTAGTGTTTTCCAGAAAAGAAGCATTCAAAAACTGCACGGGTCTCCTTTCATAAACTTTGACTCGTAGACCCTTCATAGTTTTGATTCCGCGCTCAACGCCTCTGAAGAGGGCTGAGTTCGTATTGGAGGGCCTTCTGGCTGTTCGAGGGTTTCCAGAGCTACCCCTGGTAATGGCGCATGACGTCTGGCAGTGGTCGGAGCTGGTGACAACATTCGGACGTGACCAAAAGATGATTGCTAGTCATTTTCGTGACACTTGCAGGGCGAATTGAGAAGGAAAATGGGTGCTGCACCAATCCAGGCATAGGAAGCCCACCATGACAACGCTTGGCCAGACGTTGCAAGGATCCAATATCGTCATAGAGCCCTGATACTGTCCC